CAGGAAGTGAGAGTTACTGCAAAAAGAAACAGAAAAACAATAATCGTAAGATTTACTTGAGGAAAAAAAAAAATGAGAATGGCCTTTACCCAGTTGAGATTCGGGAAGATTTACGGAAGATAGATCTGATCAATCAGGTATATATTAAATCTTCATTTTCTTTTATCCTATTTTTTTAGAAATCACAACCGTTAGATCTTCATTGGATTATTACAATGGTCTAGAGTTAAAAACTAAATGTCAATCATTTATACGATTCTAGCAAATCACGTCAGATAAGTAATATTAGATTAAATTTTTATCAGTAGCCAAATGAATAGATTTGTAGCCAAATGAATAGATTAAAGATAGAATGACCAAGAAAACTTCTGAATAGGGAACACTAAGATAAGAAAAGATTTGGAAACAGAGATCCACTTGAAATTTGAATACATGAGAACAGAATTATAAGGCAACAGATAAAAAAAAGACTTGGGAATTAAAAACCACAAACTAAATATAGTGGGAAGGGTAAATACAAAGGGTATACAGAGAGGAGTAAAGACCAGAATAACTTGAATCAGGTGTATCTACTTTCTTATATAACAGTAACCATGAAAAATAAGATTTTTAATCAAAATATAATTATAGATATATAACATTTCAGACTTTTAACAATGGACCAATGTAAATTAGAGAAATAATGTTGTAGAGTTCAAACCTGAAACTAATGTCATGTGCTCATATAGGTTGACTCGGATTTCAAAGGACGGAATCGAACTTTCATTAAAGATATATTTGTGACAACGACTTAAGCTAGCCAGGTAAGTGACCTTACTATCGGCATGGTTATTTTGATGTTGACACGTGCCCTGTGGTTCTGTACGTGTTATATATATTGATATGTGTGAATTGTCTGTGGACCGATATGCTTCCTATATGTTATGTTATGTTATAATATGTGGTTTGTATGATAAGAATTATGGTACGATGTGCTCAATGATATGTTTGAGATAGGGTACGAGAAGGATGCACAAAACGAAATGTAACGATAGGAGTAAGATACGTTCATGAAACGTTAAGGTTAGGTTACATACCGGAGTGCTATGGATAGGAGAGATTGATGAAAGAATACGGTTAGGTTATGGGTAGAAAGGGATAGGTTTGTGATAGATTGATAGAACGATAGCGTTAGGATATGTTCTTGTGACGATATGACTAATGTACATCACGTAATGATATGTCTGTGATAGGTATAAGAACGTTAAGGCTATGGTAAGTTAGAGAACGATATGACTATGAAGTGTTTACGTTATGACTTGGTTATGATATGATCCATTGTATGCTAGATTATTGTGCTTAAGTACGAAATCATGTGAACGTGAATGTATGTTATTTATGCTGCTTAGTTGATGTGATATGAATGCATGTGACGATGTGTGGCCCTTGTACGATTATGGCTTGTTGTATGAGTATTGGAATGTAACTGAATGAATTGTATGACATGAAATACGGTAAATTGCATGATACATAACCCCGCTAGGAATATGTATGATATGTAACGAAATGAGAATGAGAATGACATGTAAGCATGAAAACGTGACACGGGGTTATGTTCATTAAATGATGACTGTAGGACTAGTGGGACCTCATGCATATTGTGTGATCATGCATTTGGGGGGATACCCCTATCCCATCACGAGGGTACGGACGCGTACATCCAAATGGCAGGACAACGATCGTTATGCCCTGCATAGCGCTGCTGTGACGGTTTTAGTTTTAACGGGTCCCGGTGGGCCCCCGGTTGACATTAGCATGAATTTTGTTCTAGGATTACCAAAGACTAGAAGACACCATGATAGCATTTTTGTGGTGATTGATAGGTTTAGTAAGATGACACATTTCATTTCATGTAACAAAACAGATGATGCTACCAATATAGCTAATCTATTCTTTAAGGAAGTGGTTAGATTGCATGGTATTCCCAAAACCATTGTTAGTGACAGGGATGTAAAATTTTTACGCCATTTTTGGAAAGTTTTGTGGGGAAAGTTGGGAACTAAGCTTCTATTTTCTACAACATGTCACCCTCAAACCGATGGACAAACTAAGGTCGTTAATAGAATATTAGGAGGCTTACTTAGGTCAGTAATTTCTAAAAATCTTAAGTCTTGGAAAGAGACTCTACCTTTTGTGGAATTTGCATACAATAGAGCAATACATAGCACCACTCAGTGTTCACGGTTTGAGGTTGTGTATGGATTTAATCCTTTAACTCCTCTAGATTTATCGCCTTTGCCACCTAATATGTTTGCTAGTGATGCAGCTTCTTCCAGAGCCGAATACATAAAAAAAAAATTATTCACAAAGACATAAAAGAAAGAATTGAAAACAAAAATAAAAAACTAGTCACGCGCAAGAACAAAGGAAGAAAGAAATTGATTTTTAAACAAGGTGATTGGGTTTGGGTCCATCTACGAAAGGAAAGGTTTCCAAGTCAGAGAAAGTCAAAACTTCAACCAAGAGGAGATGGTCCTTTTCAAGTACTAGAGCGGATCAATGACAATGCATACAAGCTAGATCTCAGAGGGAATGAAGACCTTGATTTGAGGGCAAATCCTTTTAAAGAAAGGGAGGATGATATGAATTCAACTACTGACCCTTTGCATGTACCCGAAGGACCGATTACAAGAAGCAAGGTTAAGAAGATTCAAGAGGCTTATACATTGCATCTTCAAAAGCTAGCTAGTGTACCGGTTGAAACAAAGACTTTTGAGCCCAAAAATCTTTATAGCATTAGCATATCAAATCAAGAAGATAATGGAGTGGCTGATATTGGAAAGTAATTAGAAGACTTGCCTTTGGTAGTTGAATTACAACCTAAGGAAATTTATGGAAAGTAATTAGAAGACTTGCCTTTGGTAGTTGAATTACCAATTAAGGAAATTTATTAATGCCTTATTTGCTTCAATTTGTATTTAATAGCATTTATTAGTAATTTGTGGTTGGTGGTTGAACTATATTATATTAGGGTTACCTTTTAGACCTATTTAAAGGCATGTAATACCCATGTTTGGGGGATTTTGTTGAATACAGAAAAAACCTTTGTGTTTTCTTGATACCCTTTTGGTGTTATTCTTTTTCAAACCTTGCTTTAGGTTTGATGTTTAAACTGATTCACTGAATTATTTTTGATCAAGCTAATTCTGGAGTGAATTATCTTGGTATCTAAGAGTGACCATCATAGATTCCAAGTTCGATCTAAGAGTCATTCATCTTCTAACCAGCTCTTAATTGGAATCAATCCGTTAAGTTAGCTTTCTCTGTGAGTGTTTTGCAAGGATTCTAGAAGGACCTCTAGCTTTGCAAATTTCGGCATTGTAGGCGCTTATCACATGGTCTCTGCCTCGCATCAAGCCATGACCAACCTCATGTGGATTATCCTCGTGGTGATCAGAATTGTTGCCCTCATATGTATCGGTTGAGGGCGTAGGTAGTGGAATCCTCTGTCGAGCTTGATTTTGAATCTCCAATCTTCCAATTCGATCAGTCAACTCTTCTATTCCTTGAATTAGTCTTTCAATGGTTCGTTGTTGTGCTTCTCTCAATCATGCATCAGAAATGTCAGTATTGTCGTCTGGATTTTTCATGCTACAAAAGAAAAGAAAAAAAAGGACCTCACAAGCGCTCCCTCACGTGTATTCACTCGTAAATGTAGTTCACTCGTGTTTAGCACTCAACACTCGAATCAATGTGTTACTCCCTTACAAACTCACCCTCACAATTGAGCACACACAAATCACACTCTAAAAAACAAATTGGGATGTGAGACAAGCTATGTTATAGAGCTAAGTGCAATTCAAAGTGAATAGACAGTACACTCAATACATAAATAAGGGTATTGAAGGAGCAATCCGAATAACGACAAAGAAACGAATTAAAGAAAGAAAATGATTAAGGACTAATTTAGACGTAGTAACATATGAGAGTTACATATAATAATCAAGAGGAAAAAAGAAAGACATTTAACATTGATATAAGCTTTCTTTCTTTCCATGGTTTTTTTTTTTTTTTTCTCTTCTGATTGGCAAAATGTAATCAATTTACCAACAAGAAAATTGATTTAGAAGATCTTAAAGAATAACAAAGTGTTGATAAGATCCAGATCTAACACTTTAAAGAATATAAGAATTTTTTTTTGTTTTGTTATATATTTTTTCGATAGAACATGAACATTCTACACAAACTGAGAAAAAAAATTATAAGAGAATTAAAAGAGATAAGCGCAATGAAACATATATCTGATCTGGAGCTTGAAGCTCTGATACCAAATGATATGGAAATCAATCCAAGGGAAAGTATGAAACAGATTACCTTGATGATCAAGATCAAGAGTAAAGAAAACTCGTTTCTAAACTCGTGATTCGAATCACTCCACAAGAGGTTTGATCAATACCACTTGAATGATTCTACATGTTCTAAACACAAGAGTTTGCAAAGAAAGTTTATCTCTCACCAAAGCTAAAAATAGAAATTCTATTCTTAATTCCAAAATCTGATGTCTAATCAAAGAAAAGAAGACTTTATTATAGCCCTTACAACCTTAACATATGTGATACATAACTCCCAAATTAAATGGGCTAGTAAATGAAAAATACCCGTAACCTCCATATTAAAATGGCTAGTTAATGGTGGAATATAGTAACCTATGTGGGTTACAATATAACCTTAACTCCTATATTTAAAACTAGCTTAAATATGACAAACAAATAGTTAAACTATAATTAAATAATGCAATTAATAAAATGTGCTTATTGACTCATCCTTGGGCTAGTTTCATAAATTCAACGAAGTTCATTAAATGCAACTTAAACTGCATTTAATTCATCTCTTTCTTGAAGCTCAACTTTGCACAACATATAAGGGAGATCTCCAGCATCTTCTAGAATTTCCTTTAATGAGCTCACCATAGCTTGAATATTATTGTATAAGGTTTGTTGTAGCTTATTGGCTCTCGTCCTTGTAATTGGACCTTGAAGTATGGAAATTCCTTGGTCATGGTTCATATCAACTTTGATTCAAGTGTTCTTGCTAAAACAAAAGCTTGGATCGTTGAGCTGAGGATTAGGGTTGCCTTATAAACGCCTTTGACGTCAGGCTTGAGGCTCTATCTGATCTTCCAAGAATATGGTTCATTCTCAATTCACATAGAAATTCTGAAATAGAAAATTGTACCCTCATCTTCTTTTATAAGACTACCTCAAGCCCTCGGTGGAATGATTTTGCTATGTTGATTCTTCATAGAAGGGAGTAGATGACTCTTTCAAACAATGATGGTCCGGGTCCTCAAAAAGAAAGTCTCGATGGAAGGAAAAGGGAGGAATCCTCCTAGTTAGCAGGTGGGAATCCTTTCTCAGGAAAGGGCAATGGAGGGGTCTCTGACCATTGAAACCATTTCCACCTTATAGCCTTTGAAAGCTGGTACAATGATAATTTTTTATATAAAAGGAAGCCTTTCAATCTAGTATTCAGCCTATCAAACTGCATGGGAATCATCCTAGGTTTTTCGAACTTCCACTCAATCCCCATGGAAAGCTCTTAGACTGGAAGGCTTGTTTGGTTCGCTATACGCTGGATTTAGGGGAGTCCTTCTTATTTGATTTTCAGTATAGCTTAGCTTATTTAGTCAATGCCTATAGTCAATACAAATACAAACTCTATCCCTTCCAGAAATTATGTACTAGGGAAGAAAGAGACTACAACAATTGGAACTATCTCGCCGGCAGAAGGAATAGGACTCTCGGACAGATCAGGTACAATCTCCCCATGGCCAGAAAGAAGCAATGTATTGACAACAAAGATAACTACATCTATAACTTCCACTTCTGGCCTTTCATCAAGAGCAAATGGCCTGAAAACTAGTTCCGCTTAAATCAGACTGCAGGGAAGGAATAATGACTTATTATTCCCATTCCCATTCTTTTTTCTTTTTATGTAATTGGCTCGTAAGCACTAGAAATAGATGGCCTTAGGACAGAAGCTAGTTGCTCACCCCCCAAAAACCTGTGGCCACAAGAAAAGAACTTGAGAAGGCCCTAGTCAAAGGGAAGTCAGTAACTCTCTATACTGTTATTGAACTTTGTGTGATATGAATTCAACTGCTGACCCTTTGCATGTACCCAAAGGACCGATTACAAGAAGCGAGGTTAAGAAGATTCAAGAGGCCTATACATTGCATCTTCAAAAGCTAGCTTGTGTACAAGTTGAAACAAAGACTTTTGAGCCCAAAAATCTTTATAGCATATCAAATCAAGAAGATAATGGAGTGGCTGATATTAGAAAGTAATTAGAAGACTTGACTTTGGTAGTTGAATTACCAATTAAGACAATTTATTAATGCCTTGTTTCCTTCTATTATTATTTAATAGCATTTATTAGTGATTTGTGGTTAGTGGCTGAACTTTATTATGTTAGGGTTACCTTTTGGACCTATTTAAAGGCATGTAATATTTATGTTTGGGATGAATTGTTGAATACAAACAAAACCTTTGTGTTTTCTTGATACCCTTTTGGTGTTGTTCTTTTTCAAACCTTGCTTTAGGTTTGATGTTTAAACCGATTCATTGAATTAGTTTTGATCAAGCTAATTCTGGAGTGAATTGTCTTGGTATCTAAGAGTGACTATCATAGATTTCAAGTTCGATCTATGAGTCATTCATCTTCTAACCAGCTCTTGATTGGAATTAATCCGTTAAGTTAGCTTTCTCTGTGAACGTTTTGCAAGGATTCTAGAAGGACCTCTAGCTTTGCAAAAATCTAGCATTGCTGGCGCTTATCATTTGGTATCAAAGCTTTTGGTCGACGTTCTTTGGCCGCTCTAGAGGTGAAATACTTTTATTGTTATTTTTTTGTATCAATTTTTTTTCTCTCTCAGATTATCGAAAAAAAAAAAGAAAAAAAATCAGTAGAAAAAAAATCAGTTCTAAGAAAAAAAAATATATATATATATTCAACGTGGTGGGCCCATAACCCACAGGTCCCAGGATCGAAACCTGTCTCTGATACCAAATGATAAGATAAGGAATCAACTACAAGGGGAATAAGATTCGGATTACCTTGTTGATCGAATATCTCAAGGCAAGAACACTTGTTTGAGATTCAAATCACTCCACAAGCAAGATCGATCATGTCTAGCTTGAATCATTCTTGTTGATCAAAATCTCATCGCAAGAAAACTTGATTGAGATTTGAATCACTCCACAAGCAAGATTGATCATGTCAAGCTTGAATGATTCTACATGCAACCTAAACTAAATAGAATTGCAAAGAAACTTAGCCATTGGCTAAAGAAAAGCCCAAATGCTTCTTTTAATATATTTTCCCAGTCTACTTACAAATACAACATACATGGCTTTATATAGCCTCAAATGAAACTACTAAAGGCATTCCAAGAGTTGTAACATTCATATTTAATGGTCATAATTAACCATTATGTAATTGTAACCTAAAGTAAATTAAATGTCTTAAAATACATTAATGATATACAATAAATCTAAATTACTCTAAATTGTAATCCACCCAAAATTTATAATATGAAACTTCATTCTTTTTCAATGTGGCATGAATTGAAATATCTTTTGATAATTTCAACAATATTTTCTTCACATCTTCATTGAAGAATATTATATGATTGATGTCTGTTGGTTCATATCACTTTTGTGTTTTCTTGATACCCTTTTGGTGTTGTTCTTTTTCAAACCTTGTTTTTGGTTTGATGTTTAAACCGATTCATTGAATTAGTTTTGATCAAGCTAATTCTAGATGAATTGTCTTGGTATCTAAGAGTGACCATCATAGATTCCAAGTTTGATCTAAGAGTCATTCATCTTCTAACGAGCTCTTGGTTGGAATCAATCCGTTAAGTTAGCTTTCTCTGTGAACGTTTTGCAAGGATTCTAGAAGGACCTCTAGCTTTGCAAAAATTTAGCATTTTTGGCGCTTATCATTTGGTATCAGAGATTTTGGTCGACGTTCTTTGGCCGCTCTAGAGGTGAAATATTTTTATTGTTATTTTTTTGTATCAATTTTTTCTCTCTCAGATTATCGAAAAAAAAAAAGGAAAAAAAAATAGTTCTGAGAAAAAAAAAATAATATATATATATATATTCCATTCTTATCATTTATTTTCAGGCTATTGATCCTTGAGATTCTAGTCTTAGCTTGTTAGAATTGATCGTTGAATTGGTTATAATCAAGCTTAAAGCAAGATTGCACCAAAAAAAAAAAAAAAAAAAAACCAGCCTTTACATTCTTGACCTAGTACCAAAAGCCTACCTATGAGTGTTAAACACGAGTTCCTTGAGTGAAATTTTTGTGAGAAGTGTGGAGAGGTCCCTTGATAACAAAATGTCACATAATGGAGAAGCAGTACCACCAGTACCAGATTTTAATACAACCATTCTTCAAGCAATTCAAGGTACGATGGAAATGATAGTGGAATACAAAAACCTTGTGGTTGAAACCCTTTTGGGTGGTAGGTTTCTTTCAAACCTTGGTTTAGGTTTGATGTTAAAAATTGAGTCATTGGATTAGACATGATCAAGCTAATTCTTGAGTGAGTCGTCTTAGTATCTAAGAGTGACCATCATAGATTCCAAGTTCGATCTAAGAGTCATTCATCTTCTAACCAACTCTTGGTTGGAATCAATCCGTTAAGTTAGCTTTCTCTGTGAACGTTTTGCATGGATTCTAGAAGAACCTCTAGCTTTACAAATTCTAGCATTGTAGGCGCTTATCATGGTGTCATGTCGACATCCTCCCCTCTTCTATCAAAGAAACCATTTGTAAAGGCTTAGGCTACTCCCCTATCATCAACTGTTCGTGCAACCGATCAAATTGCTTTTCCAACATTGATTTTAGATTTCAAGAATTTTCTCAACACACAAATTTTGACATATTTGATTTGATTATGAGAATAAATCCTACTACTTCTGGTCCTGAAGTTTTCACGCTTGAAAAAAACAACTTGGGACGTATCGCTCAAATCATTGCTCCAGTACTAGATGTAGCTTTTCGCTCGGGAAAAATGCCTAATATTTACAATGCTTTGATAGTTAAAGGTCAAGATACTGCTGGTCAAGAAATTAATGTGACTTGTGAAGTACAACAATAGCAATTATTAGGAAATAATTGGGTTAGTGCTGTAGCTATGAGTGGAAGTGGTTGACACAAGATCTCCTAAACCTATTCTATTGGTCTCATTGCTTCTCTCCTCTGAGAGTCGAGTAGCTTCGCGACTATCATCAATTCCAATTCGAAGAAATAGAAAAAGAAAGAAGAGAACGAAAGGAGAAGAGAAATATTTATCATCTCTATGGGATTAAATTAAGCATTTACTTTCTTTGTCCTATGGATTTCTTTCACTCGATAAAGCTATTTGAAGAACCTGAACCTCGGATAATCTTACCTCATTCACCCTTGTCAGATATTTTTTAGGCTTTATCGGTAAATAGGTGTTTGGTTCTTTCACGAGGTAAATAGGTTCCAGAGCACTTCTCGAGGTAGCATCGCCCAAGTTGAGAAGGAAGGTCAGAGAATAGAGTCAAAGGAAGAAGACGAAGACTTAGTCAACTCGAAACATAGGTGTTTGGTTCTTTCTCCTTCACCTGATTGAACGAGGTAAAACATATTCTCCTCTTCCCTCTCCCTTCTTGAAATCTAAAACAATTATGATCCTTCACCTTCAAAGACTCGGTAAAGCTGTGAAAAAAAAAAAAAAAAATTGCAGTCGAGTCAATTCAATCTTCTCCTTCACCTTCAAACTCTCAATAAAGCTATTTTCCTCTCGCTTCTTTCACTCGATCTCGTAGCTTCGCCCCTCTCTGTGTAATTAAGTGTAATGCCAAACTGATTAGCTAAGAGAATCCCTTGGAGTCAGGCTTTAGCCTCCGCCTCTATTTTCTTTTTCCCAACTACGCTTATTGATAAATGGGTTAAAGAAAGAGGGGGCTACCGTGGCCACCTACTTCTTTATCATGTTAAACAATGACACCTGCTGAGCCTCTAATGCAGCTACCTCCGGCACTTGCAAGTTTTCGCAGGAAAATACGGACCTTTTTATGCACATCCCTTTAGTAGTTCCCTCCAAACCCCCAGTCTCTGCCTACCCTTGCCTCCAATGGTCTTTTCAGCATAAAAAAGAGCACTGAATCAAAGCTCCCCCATACTACCTATTTCTCTCTCATCTTACTACGCAATTGTTTGAGATATAAAAACGGATCCCTACCCTCATCTTCCGAAGCCGAGGCATAGGCACAAGACAAGCATATCTCCGTTAGCAAGGAAAGCGCATACACCCTTGCCAAGCTAGAAATTCCCATCGCAAACCATAAAACTAGTAAAAGAGTCTGAGGCAATAAAGGGTATATAGGTTGAGTTGAGTGAGCTCCTTTTATGTAGCTCTACCACATGAATAAGCAGATTTAGGAACCGTATAATGAATCGGCAGATTTCCTTAGAAACGTAGAGTGGAGAGGAAAGAGAAGATTTGAGACCGATAGGGAGAGGAACGAGACTATAGGCAGAGATGGAGTGTATGCATCGAAGCCTGATTGGATGAAATCCTCAATTCTCTACCCAATCTCTATGAGAGCTTTGAAGTCGGGTAGGTATTGGGCATACATAACATATGCTTTTGATACTCTGGCAAGAGGTTCTTCACTATCATTTCCAGTTGTCCCCAGGGGTCTGGTTGTCATTTAGGATGCCCTTTTCCTCCATCTATCTGGTAATGTACTCAGAGAAGCGTTAGGTAGCTTCTGGATGCTTTCTAAGTCACACTTGGTTACACCGACCTCGATCTTGTAACTATCTTTATTGTTGAACTCATTGCATATGTCCTCCCAAGTTTTCTGGAACTTGTCACCCAGGGAGAAGAGTGAAGCAGCTCAATCGATAGGGAGGGGAACTCTATTCTGGCAGCGCCGGTCAGTGTGATATGAATCCAACAACTAATCACTTCCATGTATCCAAACGAGCAATTACAAGAAGCAATACAAAGAAGATTCAAGAATCAAATCAAGAAAATAATGGAGTGGTTGATATTTGTAATAGCCCAAAAATAAATAAAGAAATAAACGAATAAAAATAATTATAAAAATAGTTAAAATTATAATAATAATTAATTAATTAATTAATTAAAAAATAAAAAAATAAAAAAATAAAAAACTTTTCCCCACTTCTCTCCCCGCTAACCTCTCATCCCTTCCCACAATTATCTCTCCTCAACCTATCCTTATGCCAGCAAGTAACAGTTACTGCAAAAAAGAAACAGAAAATCAATAATCGTAAGATTTACTTGAGAAAAAAAAAATGAGAATGACCTTTACCCAGTTGAGATTCACCGGAGATTTACGTGAAGATAGATCTGATCAACAAGGTTGACTCGGATTTCAAAGGACGGAATCGAACTTTCATTAAAGATATATTTGTGACAACGACTTAAGCTAGCCAGGTAAGTGACCTTACTATCGGCATGGTTATATTTGATGTTGACACGTGCCCTATGGTTCTGTACATGTCATATATATTGATATGTGTAAATTGTCTGTGGACCAATATGCTTCCTATATGTTATAATATGTTATAATATGTGGTTTGTATGATAATAATTATGGTACGATGTGCTCAATGATATGTTTGAGTTAGGGCACGAGAAGGATGCACAAAACGAAATGTAACGATAAGAGTAAGATACGTTCATGAAACGTTAAGGTTAGGTTACATACCGGAGTGCTATGGATAGGAGAGATTGATGAAAGAATACGGTTAGGTTATGGGTAGAAAGGGATAGGTTTGTGATAGATTGATAGAACGATAGCGTTAGGGTACGTTCTTGTGACGATATGACTAACGTACGTCACGTAATGATATGTCTGTGATAGGTATAAGAACGTTAAGGCTATGGTAAGTTAGAGAACGATATGACTATGAAGTGTTTACGTTATGACTTGGTTATGATACGATACATTGTATGCTAGATTATTGTGCTTAAGTACGAAATCATGTGAACGTGAATGTATGTTATTTATGCTGCTTAGTTGATGTGATATGAATGCATGTGACGATGTGTGGCCCTTGTACGATTATGGCTTGTTGTATGAGTATTAGAATGTAACTGAATGAATTGTATGACATGAAATACGGTAAATTGCATGATACATAACCCCGCTAGGAATATATATGATATGTAACGAAATGAGAATGAGAATGACATGTAAGCATGAAAACGTGACACGAGGTTATGTTCATTAAATGATGACTGTAGGACTAGTGGGACCTCATGCATATTGTGTGATCATGCATTTGGGGGGATACCCCTATCCCATCACGAGGGTACGGACGCGTACATCCAAATGGCAGGACAACGATCGTTATGCCCTGCATAGCGCTGCTGTGACGGTTTTAGTTTTAACGGGTCCCGGTGGGCCCCCAAAGCATGCTGGTGAGCCCATACTCGCACGAATGGGCTGCATGTAGAGTATATGGTACACGTCCACGATTACCTGTTATGATTACACCATAGGGAAAACGAAACGAAACGAAACGAAAAAGAAACGAAACGAAAGATAGGTCCCATCATATTATTGCATGTGATTGTTGCATTTAACCCCAATAGCGGGGTCACTTACTGAGTATTTCTTTAAATACTCAAGCCATGTGCTACTACATTTTTCAGGTTAAGGCAAGGCATTCCTGTACGGCTGACGACGGCATCGCAACTGGAGATCATGGCACATGCATAGGATAGTGGCATTTATTTTCTTAGACTTAGGATAGAATAGGATGTTTTAAACTTAAACGTTTTAAAGATAGGATAGAATAGTCGCAACTCGAGATCGTTTTAAAGATGTTTTCGAAACACGTAATCCATGGTTGTGTTTTAAGTTATGTTTTATGGAATTTAAATGAAGTCTTCCGCATTCAATGTTTATGGTATGTATACAGTAGCGACCTTAAATTAAGTAGAAAATTTCGGGTCGTTACAATATTGGAGTGTGATTAAAAGACTTACCATTGGTAGTTGAACTACCAATTAAGACAATTTATGAATGTCTTATTTTCTTCAATTTATATTTAATAGCATTTATTAATAATTTGTATGAATGCCTTATTTTCTTCAATTTATATTTAATAGCATTTATTAATAATTTGTATGAATGCCTTATTTTCTTCAATTTATATTTAATAGCATTTATTAATAGTTTGTATGAACGCCTTATTTTCTTCAATTCTAGTGTAATAGTCCTGTTTCATTCAGTCTTGAATTTCTTTTTCTCTTTCAGTTGCTTTTGTATTTAATAACATTTATTAGTGATTTGTAGTTGGTGGCTGAACTTTATTATGTTAGGGTTATCTTTTGAACCTATTTAAAGGCATGTAATATTCATGTTTGGATGAATTGTTGAATACAGACAAAACCTTTGTATTTTCTTGATACCCTCTGAGTCGTAAGCACTCGCTGCCCAAGAAGAAGTAGAAAGTCGGTCTTTACTCCTGACCTAAGAAGCAGGTCCCACTCCATCCAAAGCTTCAACTAGCTCTCCGGCTGGCTAAGTAGGTTCAACCCCCAACTCCAAAGGCTGGTTCAACTCCTGCTTGATCAGATGCAAAAGTTGTATATTCTGGTTCCCCAGGATTTCAACCTTGATGCCCAAAGTTTGAGATTGACCGTCCGCTTCTTCCTAAACATCGGCTCTTCAAGCTGGAGCAGGAACTATCCCGGTCGACTAATGTGACAATTAGTGAGTCAGGAGTTGTGCCTTAATCTTTCGAAGTTCAGGTCTCTATACTTTGGCATAACCGATCCTCAACGTTAGCAAGCCTTGCTATTCGCATGAAAAGAATGTCATCCTAATGAAAGCCGGATTCCTTCCCTCAAGGTTTGTTTACCTATCACGTCATTCAAAGATGAATCCTAAAGAAGAAGGAAAAACGTCAGCCCTGCGCTTATTGAGGAAGCAGTGGGGCGTAGCAATTAGCCAGTCTAACCTACCCATTTAGATAATCATTCCTAATCCATTCTTCTAGTTCTATTCTTCACAAATTCCAATCGAATGTTAACAGTTAAGCTGTCGCACCTCTTGCTTGCTTGACTGATTAAGGTTCAGCTTTTAATTGATACTGATATGAATTCAACTGCTGACCCTTTGCATGTACCCGAAGGACCATTACAAGAAGCAAGGTTAAAAAGATTCAAGAGGCCTATACATTGCATCTTCAAAAGCTAGCTAGTGTACTAGTTGAAAAAAAGACTTTTGAGCCCAAAAATCTTTATAGCATTAGCATATCAAATCAAGAAGATAATGGAGTGGCTAATATTGGAAAATAATTAGAAGACTTGCCTTTGGTAGTTGAATTACAAATTAAGGAAATTTATGGAAAGTAATTAGAAGACTTGCCTTTGGTAGGTTAATTACCAATTAAGGAAATTTATTAATGCATTATTTGCTTCAATTTGCATTTAATAGCATTTATTAGTAATTTGTGATTGGTGGCTGAACTATATTATGTTAGGGTTACGTTTTAGACCTATTTAAAGGCATGTAATACTCATGTTTGAGAGATTTTGTTGAATACAGAAAAAACCTTTGTGTTTTCTTGATACCCTTTTGGTGTTATTCTTTTTCAAACCTTGCTTTAGGTTTGATGTTTAAACAGATTTATTGAATTAGTTTTGATCAAGCTAATTCTGGAGTGAATTGTCTTGGTATCTAAGAGTGACCATCATAGATTCCAAGTTCGATCTAAGAGTCTTTCATCTTCTAACCAGCTCTTGGTTGGAATCAATCCGTTAAGTTAGCTTTCTCTGTTAGCGTTTTGCAAGGATTCTAGAAGAACCTCTAGCTTTGCAAATTCCAGCATTGTAGGCGCTTATCAAATACGATACCTCTCTTAGACAAGATCGGATTTTTCAAATGCAGTTGGTGTGGTAATAAGAGAGACCCTTCCCCCAAGACTGGAATCAGGAAGAGCGGATCTTGTAACTTCTGAACTTTTTAGTCTTTTGATACCAACAGGCAATACAACACTTTAACTGCATTCGTGGTGACAGCAATCTCGCACGAACCACCACGCTCATGTGTCCCCAGGTTTTTTCCCTCTAGAACATCGCAACTTTGCACATGCATAGGTAATTGTGAGATGCTGGGCCGAAGACCATACTTTTAAGCCCAACTCTGTCTCAATGCCCTCTTGGCAACATAAGCCATCAGTCAGCTGTACAATGGTTGGATCACAGTCAACTTCCCAATCCACGTATCCCTCAAGCCCTCATGCTCTCAGCCTATGGGTCGTTATAAACCATGCCAGAAAGATGACTTTCCTACCGCTCACTTTGCAAAGACACTAAGCACTCAACCCTCTCTGAATCATTCATGTTATAAGTCGTCAGGCTGTGTAAATTGTACATCCTGGCTTTAAGAAGTAAGCAAGCGCTAAAAAAAAGGTCCCCACAGAGCGATTTAGGAACAAGATTTTTTTCCTTAGTAAAAAAAAGTCAACCATGCCCTCACCTAGCCCTCACTTCAAAGCGCCAATCAATGTGCTACGCTGGTAAAAGGGAATAGCAAACAACTGAACCCTTGCTAAGACCATTTCCATTTTGTTCTCAAGAGTTCTCACCCCCTAGGGGAGACAAGCTACCTTTACCTCCACCTTATTCTCGAAAAAGACTAGCAATTTGTCCCTCAGTTAGGCCCGCCTGCAATTAGTTCTTCTCAAGCTACCGCTTCCTCATCGAGAACCCGTTCTGCCCTTTCCCGAGAGCCATCTTTAGGTAACCCACTCTACCTTCTTGACCTACCCGTCATCCTTTTCTCAAATATTTACTGCAATCTCTCTTTCCTCAGGCACTCGTCGGCAACTCCGATTGGAAGATGATTCCGAAGAAACTGAAGATGCAAGAGAAGGAGGAGATGTCATTGAGGTAGAAAGTTCCTCTATTCATGCTCCCCAAGGTTGGAAACATCAAAGAATCATGGTTCCCGCTTCTTCTGTACCAGCCACACTCTCTACCCCTTCGTCAGGTCCAGCTTTTTGCACTCGCTGCCAACTTTCTCGCAGCACCTCCGCCTCTGTCTTGCCATCTACCACAATCGCCGGTGGAGATGAAGAATGGCTGATGACATGATTCGTGGAAATCACTACAAGGAGAGTAAGATTCGGATTACCTTGTTGATCGAATATCTCAAGGCAAGAACATTGTTTGAGATTTGAATCACTCCACAAGCAAGATCGATTATGTCTAGCTTGATTGATTCTTGTTGACCAAATATCTCGAACACTTGTTTGAGATTCGAATCATTCCACAAGCAAGATTGATCATGTCGAGCTTGAATGATCTACATGCAACCTAAACTACATAGAATTGCAAATAAACTTAGCCATTGGCTAAAGAAAGCACAAATGCTCCTTTTATATATATTTTCCAAGTCTACTTACAAATACAACATACATGGCTTTATATAGCCTCAAAATAAAACTATTAAAGACATTACAAGAGTTGTAACATTCATACTTTATGACCATAATTAACCATTATGTAATTGTAACCTAGAGTAAATAAAAAGTCTTAAAATACATTAATGAAATACAATAACTCTAAATTGAAATCTACCCAAAATTTATAAATGAAACTTCATTCTTCTTCAATGTGGCATGAATTGAAATATCTTTTGATAATTTCAACAATATTTTCTTCACATCTTCATTAAAGTATATTGTATAATGGGTGTCTCTTGGTTCATATTGATAAGCGCCTACGATGCTGGAATTTGCAAAGCTAGAGGTCCTTCTAGAATCCTTGCAAAACGTTCACAGAGAAAACTAACTTAACGGATTGATTCCAACCAAGAGCTGGTTAGAAGATGAATGACTCTTAGATCGAACTTGGAATCTATGATGGTCACTCTTAGATATCAAGACAATTCACTCCAGAATTAGCTTGATCAAAACTAATTCAATGAATCGGTTTAAACATCAAACCTAAAGAAAGGTTTGAAAAAGAATAACACCAAAAGAGTATCAAGAAAACACAAAGGTTTTGTCTATATTCAACAATTCCCCTCAAACATGAATATTACATGCTTTAAATAGGCTCAAAAGATAATCCTAACATAATAAGGTTCAGCCACCAACTACAAATCACTAATAAATGCTATTAAATACAAATTGAAGAAAATAAGACATTCATACAAACTATTAATAAATGCTATTAAATATAAATTGAAGAAAATAAGGCATTCATAAATTGTCTTAATTGGTAGTTCAACTACCAAT